GGAAAGGTACTCGTGGCTTCAAGGGAGACTCTTCTGCTACCAACAGCGCGAGACTCGACAGGGCTCGGCATACCAGTAACTCTTAGGCTTGTAGTTGATAGTTGGGCGAGATGTTAGTGGTTTGAAAAAAAAACAAAAAAACTTCCAATGTTTTTGTGGACTTAGCAAACAATGGTTGCACAAATCATCGTAAGGGAATGCAACCCACCTAACCTTGAATGAAACACGTATTGAATGTGCCACAAGGGACGGTGGCTCCATAAGTTAGCCATGATACACCCCTATGGACTTTGTATTCCAACCGCTACCAGTAGTACAATGTCCCAACCTTGCAAAAAAGAAATTTGTTGCCTACTCCAAAATTTTTGAGGCCGGCGCACTGTTGATAATTTTCATCAGTGGCTAGCGTTGCGTTTTAGGCCTCCAAAATTTGTAGTGAGGGGCCTCCCGATGATGTATGGCCATGTACTGATGCTCCAAAGTATCCCTATGCCAGCTACCACAGACGGTGTGTAATCCTTAATTGACCAATGTCTAACCTATGGTAGGCTAGGGCGAACTCTTACTATGCCCAACCTAGCACAACCATATAATGTGTCTATGTATTGCATGTGTATACGCTCTCTCTGTATATATAGTGTGTAGGTTATATTGACTACAAACACTAATCGTTCTTGTAGTATAGTATGCAGGCCACAAACACCAAAATAATTTTTATAGTATAGTATGCAGGTCATCTAGGATGCAAATAAGTGTAATACAAATGTGTAGGTATGATGTTTGCACGACCTTTGTATATAGTTCGAAGGCTATGCAGGCTACAAACATGTATAATTTATAATAAATAGGTCATCCAAGTTGCAGAGAGGTGTATTCTAGATCTCAATGTAAGTTCTATGTGTGCATGTATCCCCAAACGGAATGGTTAGGGGCAAACCCTAATTGTGATGGCTATGGGTGAAGCCGCAATCTGAGTCCACTAATGTATGGGTCTTATTCCTTCCCCTCCTACTCCATCTCCACTCCCATTCGTCCCTAGGACTGCATCCCCCCTCCATGTGCTCCTGCTCGCTAGACCTAGAACTGAGGTCCCTAGAGTCTATCAAACGCACGATCTCACGTCCCTCAATCCCACTCTCCCAGGACAGGATCCGCTCCCCCATCTACTCCTGCTCCCTAGACCTAGAACAATACTCACTCCAAGGTTTTGGCCAAGGGAATTCCCCAATTCCCAGCTGTGACGGCAAAGGTTGAAGCCATGATTACTCCAACTGTAACGGCTATAAGTAATCTACTGTACTACGCAGAGCGTGGGGGCGCAGCCAGGGTAAAGTAGAAAAGTAGTTGTAGCGGGGAAGCAACGCTCAAAGCCTGCGAATAGCCTGTGCGAATAGCCTGTGCGAATAGCCTGTATCGACCACTTCGGTTCAATATAATAAAAATAAAAAAAAACAGTGGGGCCCGGGTCTCACTGTCTTCGTGTAGTTGTAGCTAACAACACGGTGCGACACCATGGGTAGGCATGCAAGTGGCATTCACCGATGCAGATTTTTTTTTTATTTTTTTTTATTTTTTTCGTTTTGGCCGACGGAGATTTCGCGTCGGCGGTGTCAGTCAATCGTCAGCCTGGATATTGTTCTTGGCCCTGATCGTACTGGGCGCAGGGGGTGTGCATATACGCATCGCAGACCCGTATTTGGGTGGACTACGTCATCTCGGACGTTAAACAAAAACAGCACGCAGGTTACGGGATCGAATCTCTACGACGTTGTCGTTGCATTTGTCTTGCGCAGTGCTACCATGGTCGTAACCCCCACGGCCAAGGGTTGTGTAAAATTCCATAGTGTGAGCCTGCATCTCACTACTTTGCCTAAAGCCTACGACTGCGATTGCCCAAAGCCTGTGATATGCGAAAGCCTTTTTGCCTGCGAAAGCCTTTCTCGCGGCAGAGTGAGACCTAGAGACCCCGTCAGACGTATGGAGATGCATGATAATTCCTTCATTCGCCCGAAGACGACCTAGGAGTAAAGTATGGAGAAACTTTTTTATTTGCCTGGAACAAAATCCTCCCCGACACATGTGTTAACCCAAGCACCAAGTCAAAAGTCTTGTTACAGTCGTTGTTTGAGAACAACCTTATCATGCAAGAAGACCAAAGCCCATTTCTGGCAGTAGAGGAAAAAGGTAGCTTCGGTAAAGCATGGATCTGAAGAGGCATCATTCAAATCAGGGACCTGTGGGATGTCACAACAAAAGGTTGGAAAACGCTCGATGAAATCAAAGCCAGGCTCCCCAGACTGCACAATACTCCAATCAACTATGAGAAACTGATTACCGCAATACCAACCCACTGGTTAGGCATTCTCAAGCGACCCCTGATCCAAACAGGGAACACATGGGTCTGAAGAGAAGCAGACTCAAACTGTGTATGGAGAATACTGGGTCCGGCGATCCCATCTGGGGTCAGGATCCAGAAATGGGGCTTTATGTCGACAACCTCGGAACTTAAAACAATAAGCTTCAAGGAAGAGATTAGCATTAACCAAGATGTAGACTGGGAAGACTTAGTTGAAGTAAAGGTTTCATCTCGCTTTGACAGTATGGGTAAAGAGCTCTGTACCCTAGGCAAACAAGTATAAGCCCCACAACGCAGAACTACGGGGCGCGTTGGCGATACGTTGGGCAGACATGCAAAGGAATTATCATGCAGACGATCTGACAATCGCGCAACAAGGCCCTCTTTGAAGGAACTCTCCTTGGCAGGGGCCAGTTACAAGCTCAAATGCGCAAACAGTTGAGATACACCATTCTGGTCGACAAGAAAAGAAAAGGCTTGAATCGGTTCTCACAAACTTGGGCTGGGAGCAACCCACTGACCTCTGTGTTAACAGACCAGAGGATTTCATTGGCTCCATGGCTATGTCGGTAGCTTGAGATAGATAGAGGATGTGAGACGAAGGTGAAGATGGGATTCAAAAGAATCCGCAAGCATACATGTAAAACATCAACAAAAGAGAGTTGTCTAGAAGAAGTACGGAGTCAACAGGCGCAAGTGCCTTCTCTCATGGAACCAGCTAAGGTCACCATCAGGCTAGCTAGATATGTCTGTGTGTCTCGGAAAGGATAGGCCTGTGCAACTAGGCAGCAAGGTAGATCAGACAGCCGAAGGGCTGAGATGTTGGACGGGATGATTACAATTAGAATAAGAAAAGAGACACTTGTTGGTTCAGACTTCTGCTGGTTCAGACATTGTGTACATAGTTGTGGCCAGTGTGGGCTATTTGCTAGGGATACTGGCCATAAGCTAATTCAACTATTTATCCTAAGTGAAATCGGGTAAAGCTCCCGGTATTTGGTGACTGTTTCTCCGGGCAGACTGTGGGGACCCCGGCCCCGTTTCCATGATCTTGTTATAAGGGACGCTGGGCCCGGTTCCCAGCAATGTGACACTCCCCACAAATAGATTGGAGCCTTGGGGATTGGAAAAAAAAAAAAAAAAAAAAGCTATGTTCTTCTCTCAATTTCACCTCACACTACCTACCTACCACTACTCCTAATTGTAGGCATATGGGGAACCCCGTAGMAGCCASAACCGTGTTCACGAGAGAAYATGCSRGGGCTGCTCCCGACCTGCAGGTGGGCGATACCGACCAGGGGGCAGCCGGTAGCATTAGGGACCATGCCAACAGGACCAATCCCTGTGCCTCCCCTCAGGTCCCCTCCCCTACGAACATCAGCAGACTCTGCTCAATGCTGATCGGGGGAGTGGTCTATCTCTAGGTGGCGGGCTGCAAGCATGCCCAGGAAGGTACATGAGGCCAATGGGGATTGAACCCACGACCTCTTGAATGCCACTTGCGAGCCTTACCAACTGAGTTAGGCCGCTGGTTGCTTCCCATTTTCCACCCAACCCAACAAAGCGAACCGGGGAAAAAAAAAAAAAAAAAAAAAAAGAGCAAACAAACATCCCAAACGTCACGGTAACTGCCACGTACATTCTATGATGGAAAAAAAAACGAAACAAAAAGAAAAACTTTCTTATGCTGTGATCGAGGGCGGATACATGATGGTACAACATGGAGGCATTTATGTGCCACCAATGAAATACGCCCTGCCTGGCTGGCAGGGCACTAAAATCACATCGGAACAAAATAACAACAAAACAAAAACGCAAACTCTTTCCCCATAAAGTGGCCAGATACATTCGTCAAAGGCCTCTGCAACTTCACCATCGCGAGGGCCCTTCCCGACGTCCCTGGATTTGAAACTCTCGTTTTTTTTGCCTTTTTTTTTCTCTTCTTTTTTTCTTTTTTATTTCGTAGGCCTCCCTACTCCCGACAGCGCCCCTACTCCCTCGACTAGACTACTACTCCCAAGCCGAAAATTGCCCAATTGCCCAAAGCCTTCGAAAAGCCTGTTCGCCCGAAAAGGAAAAACAGGTCGCCGCCCATCAAAAAACCCCACCTACCTCATGGAAACGACCTATTGCCCAAAGCGTGCAACGACCGGTCTGTCTCCTAGCCGCGACCGCACCCTTCCCACCTCCCTCTAAAAACCAAAAACACCCCCGCCAACCTCAAATGAATCCCACGACATTTCCCGAAAGGGAAAAAAAAAGCTTGCAGTCCAGGTAAGCGCAGCCTCTGGCTGCGAATTCGCTGTGGTAGGGGTAGCCTAGGGGGCCAAATATGTGGGGTGTCATGCTGCTACACGAACCAGCCTGCTGATGAGACCGGCTCGAACCCACAACGCCCCGCTTGCGCCGCTGGGCCTCTAATCTAACCGTCAGAGCTACCCCTGGTAAGCCCTTCAAGCCTGGCCAGGCTGCACGGTGGCCGACTCGGGGTTTCCGCAGGATAGGGGCTACGGTAGTTCAGGCCCCAACCCTAAGGGAATGCATGGCCGTCGATGTGGCGGAGTCCATGGGCCCCGCTGCCAGCGCGGGCTTTCAAGGTTCCGTTTTGAAGGGGCTATTGTGCGACCCTCACGGTAGGGACAGTGGACGGCGAAGTGTCTGCCTGACCCCGCCGCCTGTGGGGTCTGCCGAGCGCTCGACGGCGTACAGAGGACACAGGGGCAGCCGGCGTGCGCGGTCTAGAGTCGAGGCGCCTCTTTTTCTTTTCCGGTCTATAGAAGGGAAGGATGCGGTCGTCCCTGTCCTCTTTTCATTCCCTTCCCTTCGCCCTTCTCCCGACCGCCATCGCAGCAATCCGAAGCAAGCAAGCGCCTGCTTAGCTAGCAAAGATGACGACCCGGCTGAAGAAGAACCGTAAGAAGCGCGGCCACGTCAGCGCAGGCCATGGACGTGTCGGTAAGCACAGGAAGCATCCTGGAGGAAGGGGTAACGCTGGAGGTATGCATCATCACAGGATCATGATGGACAAGTACCATCCAGGTTACTTCGGGAAAGTGGGTATGAGGCATTTCCATATGTTGAAGAACAAGTATCACTGTCCTATCATCAACGTGGACAAGTTGTGGACTCTAGTTCCAGAGGAGGTGAGAGAGAAAGCGAACGGCACGAAGGCGGCACCTTTGATCGACCTCACGAAGAAGGGCTTCTTCAAGCTTCTTGGCAAGGGCGCCCTCCCCGAGCAACCCCTTGTCGTTAAGACGAAGTTTGTGAGCAAGTTTGCGGAGAAAAAGATCAAGGAGGCCGGCGGCGCAGTTATTCTTACTGCATAAGAATCGGCTGGGACGAAGTCTCAGGACGCTGAAGTTGGCGGCGTGAGGAAAGGCGGAGTATTGACAAACGGAGGGGATCATGTGGGAGCGGAGCTAAGGAGGAGATGAACTTGTCGAGGGCTTTTCAGGATGTGAAACAAACGATGCAGATAATGGGTGAGATAGCGACAGGGAAGAAAATACGTCGCGGCGTTTGGCGTACTGTTTTTTTAGGGTGAATGTTGTGAGCCTTCAGCCCTAAATTCAAGATTGTCAATGTGCGCGGTTTTGCGTCTGTAATGTACGAGGGCTTTGCTGTGAAGGAGTGTGAGGTGAAAGTAGGCGGTGAATCCCTGATCGTTTGGATTGAATTTCGTTATGGGGCTCTGCTGAGTGGAAAAGAAAAAGAGGAAGTCGGCGCAGGCTGTCATGAGATTCTGAGGGAGACAAAGATCTAGTATACGCGATTTTGTTATCTTTGAGAAGGTTGGCGAGGGTTTTGTTTGTCGGTTTGTTTTAATTTTCGACATTCCCCTACTCAACTGAGGAGGTTCACTCTCTATCCGTGCTTGCCTGCTCTTTCTCTCTCCTCTCATCTACCTTTCTGCACTTCTGCGGTATTGTGTTGTATTTTCCTTTGATAATTTGTATTACTGCAGAGATGGGTTGGAATGAATGGTAACGAAATTCCCCTTGCTTCTGTATTGTTTCTCTGGACACGTCATTTTTCAACGAATTGGATTATCTTCTTGTGATGCATGCCGGTCCACGAAACACGTATGAATTGGCGTGCGCATATGGAATGCTCTTGGTGGACGTGTGATGGGTTTGGACAAGTATTCACATGTGGATCTGGTCGGTAGGAAATATCGCAAAGCTGTTGCGCTGGTGGTCACCGCGGCGTAGGTTGAGTGGTATGAGGTTGGGATGGTGTGGTTATAAAGTCTGGTCGCATGGTGGTGAAAGATTTCAGGGTTTGCATGGCTGATGGTGGGACCGAAGTTTAAGGGTTTGCAGGGCTGATGGCGGGACCGAAGTCCGTCGTCGCGCACAAGGGTTCTGCGTGGTCTTGGGGTAATTGTGTTGGGTTGCATTTAGGTATTGGGTTGTCCTGTTTGGTTTGGGTATGAGCTGATTCGGCAACGCTGTTGGGCATGGGTTGGGTCCGTCTTGCTGAATGAGATGTGGTGCAGGGTGAGCAGGAAAGTAATGAGGTTGAAGGGTGGGGATTCTCTCTGTAAATGATGGCGTGGCTTGCGTTGTTGGGACAGACATGACGTTGACTGGTGGCCAGATATGCTAGGGCCGTGTTAGGGTGTCGCATGCTCTCCTAATTTGTGTGATATTGCACAACTTGTGAGAGTATATGAAATTAGGGCATATTAGGGTTTGGTGGTGGTATGAGTTTCACCTTCTCTTTATATCCAAATACCTATCATCTTCACCGGAATAGAACGCGCGGTCGTCATACCTGTAACTAAACTTTTAAGTTTCCCTAATACGGGTATATAATGACCAGTCGTTCTATTCGGTTGGAGACGAGAGGTAGTTTGTCGTGGCGTAGTTCTCTTAGACCCCCTTGAGGGCGCGAAAGTTTGGGACACGGTCTTCAGCTGCTGAGGAGTGGAAAGTTGGCGGTCTGTGTGGGGGGATTTATTCTTCTCATGAAATCGATTCCCTCCACCAGAGAATTCATCATATTTCACTGAGAAAGAAATGCTGCTTAGCAAGGAAAATGTAGGCGCTCACTAGCAATTGCCGGGTTCATCGAGTAGCGAATATCCCTGCGTTTAGGGGATTGAATTGTGTCGTTGTTGCTCTTACGTCTGTGTGAATGGGATGCAAATACAGAATTTCCCTAATACAGAAATGCACGTACCGTGGGTGTGTCTGTGGGGCGAGTATCGGCACTTATAGAAAGATCACAGCTGCGATGTTGTTGGAGGGTAAGTTTAACGCTGGACCATCGTGGACTGTATTGAACTCAGCGTTGGACTAAAGAATTTGAACTCTGCCTAACGGGGATGACAAGATACCCGCGGTCTCTGAGGATGATCTTATGCTCTGATGCTATCTCGCTGGGGTATTTATGACTTGAAACTTTTTTAGTGTGAGGTACATCCGCGTTCAGCCTTCGCCGTCAGTGCTGTATGTCTAAGTCTTATTCTTATGGGAATTTTAATTTCGAGGTTCCGGGTCCTAGTTTTGGCGTTTCGGTTTAAGAAACGCCGAAATTTGCCTTGTTGCCGCCAGTAGAACTTGACGATTTCGGTTTAAGAAATGCCGATATTGGTGTTAGGTCACTGGGTGATAAGGGCGCAATAGCTCCGCCAGTACTTGGGCCCGGAACGTCGAAGTTAAAAATGCCCATAAGAATAAGACCTAGACATACACCATTGGGCGACGACGGCGTAATACGTCCGTCCGTAGAACCAGCCGATAACGTCGAAATTTGCTGTCTTGCCGCCAGTAGAACCTGACGATTCCGGTTTAAGAAACGCCGAAATTTAAGGGGTATGACCTGGTAGGTCACTGGGCGATAACGGCGTAATGGGTCAGCCAGTAGAACCTGCCGATAACGCCGAAATTTGGTGTTGTCGCCAGTAGAACCCGACGATTTCCATCACTGAGCGTAATGATGTCTTGTCTGACTCAAGCCAGCACTTCCTTTCCCTGATCCTGTTTTCTTCCTTGGCTGTTAACGCTCTGCGACCTTCAGGGTTGTCACTTCTTCCTCGTACCGTCGTTGAAATTCATCAACGGTGCCCGATCCTCGGAGGTCTCGGCGCGGTAGTAAGTGGGAAAAGTAATGATCGTCTAATATCTCACTGGCTTACCGATCTTGTAACTGGCGCTGCGAGAAAGAGCTAAATTCAGTGTCGAGGGTTCGATGGCCTACTCTGTTTATTGCTTTGTAAGATAATGAAGCAGCATTTTCAAATAGGGAAAACTTGCACAGCCGTCAGAATCGACTGTGATGCCGGGAACATCCATGTACTGACCATACAGCCAATTGCTGGATGAGTAATTAAGAAAGAGAAATTCCTGTCCGCACGTGCTAGAAGGGTTTATGCATCGTGAGATGAAGGTGCATTGTGACTTGTATTAGTCTTCGAAAAATTCTGGGTCTCCGGTCCGCCTTTAATTGGCCACTGGAGGGGGCTTGTTTTTCTTGTCTAACGAGTTTTGAAGTACGTGCGATGTCGGGAACGCTTCTTTCAACCCTGGGAATTTGTAGTTTTTCATCTCTTTTCTTTGTCATTCTACCATCTCCTTCCTCTTCTTAATGAGGTCTTTGTTTACCGATTTCATTTGGTGATGCCCTAGGGTGACACTTTGATCACAGGTTTAATTTGAGTGATCGTCAAATGAATAATAATACACCTTGTTTTGAATTCTAGCTATGAAGTTAAAAGCTGAAGCAGTAGTAGATTGAGTGCCGGCGATGTAGACATTGGCAAATGGATACTTGCACAGAAGCATCCGATCTCTATTCCGTCGATAAGGGTTTGTATGTCGACGTTTTTCCTTCCGGTATGCGTGCGATCAGTGATCCAAATGTTCCCCACGTTTTCGAAATGGAGCTCTGTAAGGGGTGTTTAATGTTGCTGTTATTATCAATTGACCGTTGGTCTTGATATATATATGAGAATTTCGTACTATTCCCTACGATTTACTGATATTGCTCTTTTGCAGGTCCAGGTCTGCAAAAACCTGTCGTACTGGCTCTTCGAGCAATGTTATTTAATGACAAGTAGAGAGCGGAATAAAATTAGGATTTCGGATTTCATGTATTTGGAACAGGGCGCTGTAGAGAGTTACGAACTCTACTGCGATTGGCGCGTTATCGCTCCGGACCTATTTCCGTACAAACACTGTCAGGTCATTGCTCTCTAGCAGGACCTATTTCCGTACAGACGTGTGGGGAATGATTCACGCAGTAGCCACTTTTCGTTTTCGAAGCACTTTCGGTGCGGACCTATTGAGTACAAACACCCGGCATCTGCAGGACCAATTTCCGTACGAACACCCGGCATCTGCAGGACTGATTTCCGTACAAACGCCCGGCGCCTGCAGGACCTGTTTCCGTACAAACACCCGGCATCTGCAGGACATGTTTCCGTACAAACACCCGGCATCTGCAGGACATGTTTCCGTGCAAACACCCGGAACCTTCAGTACCTATTTCCGTACAAACACCCGGCACCTGCATAGGCTCGTAAGTTTCTAGTGGCAGCTTTGGCGCTGTTCTGTTCACCCGGCACCTGCATAGGCTCGTAAGTTTCTAGTGGCAGCTTTGGCGCTGTTCTGTTCGTTAGACCATTGTCTATCGCAGAATTTGACGGTCACTGAGCAGAGCGAGTCTGCGACGTGGCCGACTGTCGCTGGCTGCCCCGCGACATCCCCACCATGGATTCGCTCCCTTGCACTCGTACTTGCCGTGCATAATTTTTAATTACACGATTCATTGTGAAGCATGCGTGGTGATTCGCTCCCTTTTTTGCTCGGTACTCACCGTGCATAAGTTGCTGGCTAGCAGGACCTCACCTGAGGACAAGAAAGAAACGCCTGGCAGTGCCTGACATCAACTGCTTCACACAAACTGCTCGTGTGAAGCATGCGTGGTGTTTTGTGAGTCCATCTTTCAAATCTTTGATTTCTTGATTGACGATCGTGATAGTTGATTCCGTAGAAACGTTTGAAAATCAATCATCAATCACATAGATGGTAAAGGCATTCCGCAGAAACGTTTTTTCGCATGTTCGAGTCTGTTTAGTTTGAAATCAAACTCACTTAGTGCGGATGGTCAACACGGCAGACTTGAAAATCTTTCCTACGGGTTATTTGCTCCCAATGTGAGGGGGGGATTTCGGTTGCGACGAGTGTCTGTACCTGCTCTTCGCTTGCGGTATTTTGCGAAACGATCGATTCGTATTTCCGTTATCTAGTCGAGAAGAGGAAGAGCCATCTGCTACCTCTTTGTGAGGAAGGAAACAATCGTCAAGAAGAAAGTGCTGGCATGGTAGGACGCATGCGGGTTGGCGCGGAATTTACTGCAGTAGTTGGTAGATGAAATGCATGTGACGTAGTCTGCCAGTTCGGCCAGTGCGCCTTTCTTTTTTTACCTGTTAGTTCTTTGAAATCGATCGGAGGAATGTGTTCGCGCTATAGAGGTGGTACTACTGATCGGTCCGTTTCGTCGTCGGCCGTGCAGTAGTTACGAGGGCGGGATTGCGTGAATAGGCACAGCAAGATCAAGATCTATCGATCTATCGTGCGGTACGGGCATACAGCTCTATGATTACGGCATTAAGATTCGCGCACCTATTCTTGGGAGAACGTCCTTCGTGTGTCTCTACATCGTTCTGCCGTCTCTCTTCGAACGACAAAGTGGAGGAACCTCTCCTCGGTAGGTGTTCTTCTCGTCGAGTCGCGTCATTTTCTCGCCCTGATCTCATGCTAATAGCACACCACGCTTCTCAGCTCTCCGATCATCTTGAGCCGATGTCGTTCAGTAGTGAAGGGAAGCGACTCTCCTATTAACTCTTGTTTGACGTAAGTTCGTGTCTCTGATTGCCGCGTTGGCTTTGTCGTCTGAACTGATTGCGACAAGCGGTAGATGAAACATACAACGAAGAAAAAAAGAAAAGAAAAGGAAACATACAATGAATAGCCTCTTCATTACCATGGAAGTGGCTTATGCCTTGGCATACTTTAGTTCAGTTCGTTGGTGTTCTAATGAACTGTTCTCCCATTTGGCTTATGCCTTGGCATACTTAGTTCAGTTCGTTGGTGTTCTAATGTTCTCCCATTGACAGCTTTAGGGCTCTTTTAGTATTTTGCACCACTCTAATGGAATGCTTTCGATCTTTTGAGGTTGTGGCAGCCCTTTCTAAGTCTTTCCTGGATGTGATCCGATTGTTCCCCGCCGTTTGCTCCATAAGTGGCTGATTTGCCATATGAGCCTCTTAAGCCAATGGCCCCCCTAATTTACGCTATTTTTTTGACAAGGCTATTAATGTTTTTCTTTCGATCTATGTGGTCCGTTGATTACAGAACAGTGGCTGCTTTAGCACCTCGTCCCTGTTCTTGCGGGCAATCTTGTTCGTCGAAGCAATTATGTACAAATAGGGAACCCTCCGCGGCCCAGCGCCAGGCCCACCCCAGGCACGGCCATTATCTGGCCCGGGCGACATTGAGGGTGCTTGTTTTAGAACATGAATCAGAAATACTTTAGTGTGGTCGCCGGTGGATATGAACTCACGTCTGCAATTCAATAGTTTCAGGAGTACATCAACTGAGCAGCTTGCCAATTTGCAAAATGAGAATTTCAATTGGCTGGGTTTAAAGAATTAGCCTTAAAAAAAAGAACAAAAGAGAAGGTATGTTCCGCAAGAAAATAGTAAGATACACCGTGACGGACAGATGCAAATGTAGCCGAGAGAGAGAGAGAGAGAGAGAGAGAGAGGGAGGGAGGTTATGGGGTTTGCATGCATAGGATGAGCAAAATGGGAATGAATCTGTCCCTAGAACATGGAAATATACACTGCCACATTTGTGGTCTTTGGCAGTGTAAATTTCCATGTGGCAGTGGATATTCCATGTTCTACGGGTGATGTCCGTCGGTGAAGCGTGGCAATGTCGGTCGGTGTGTGTGTAGGATGAGCAAAATCGGAATGAACTTTCAGCGAGAACATGGAAATATACAATTATACACTGTTTCCCCCTTT